TTAGATTTCAATCTGCTTGAGGTACCTGCCCATTGCTCTATTTTCACCTTTCATATGAAAATGTCAGACGTTCCACTATCAAATTAGTTATCCTAATGAATATTGACTCATAGTCAGAGAGGTTTACATCTAATCATAGTGAGTGAGAATAGAACACATAAATACACTTACCTGATTACCTTCTCTAATTTTTTGAAATAATGTACACATATCGTGTCTTTTCCGTGGTAATTTTTACAAATTTCTTTTTCAGCAACTATGGAGAGTGACCATGTATAATTTGGAGAAACTTGTTGTACTACCTGCTGTTACAGATCAGAAACAAGTAAGTAACCTAACGAATATTTTACTTCTATTTACTTCTACAATATCATGCTTTAATTACACATCTTTTATCAGAGATTCCTTTCAAATTTCTAGTAATTCCACTGAGAATAGTGTATAGTTTTAGGCTTAACAAGTAAATTATGTTATCATTTAAAGATACTGATGCTTTTGAAGTGAAGACAGGAATAAAACAAGGCTGCCTACTATCACCCATGATATTCCTGATTGTAGTGGACTGGATCATGCAACAAACATCTGTGAGAAGCGAGAAGAGGGGGATACGCTGGAATGGAGAGAAGAACCTACAAGATATGAATTTCACCGACGACTCATGTCTAATGTCATACACACTTGAAGATCTAGAGATGAAAACTAACAAGTTGACAAGAGAGGCAGCGAAGAAGGAACGTCAAGTGAACGTAGAGAAACAGAGGTGATGAAGATACCCAACCAACAACATGAGCAACAAGAAGAGGCACCAATCACGATGAACGAGAGAAACTTAAAGGAAGTAGTCTCTTTCACCTATCTAGGCAGCACTGTTTCAACTGCAATTGCCACGGACGACGACGTCAAAGCCAGGATCGGAAAGGCAAGACAGGCGTTCATAAGCCTGAAACCAGTGTAGAGACCTTCTCCACTCAGCACGTGGAACAAGATCCGGATTTTCAACACCAAGTCAGTCAAGTCAGTGCTTCTGTATGGTTGAGAGACTTGATGCGTTACAAAAGGGATTTCCAATAAACCACAGACATTCATCAACAACTGTCGATGCTCGTTAATGAAGATCAGATGGCCAGAAAAATAAGAATAAGCAACAAGGAACTCTGGGAACGAACCAACCAAGAACCCATTGCTCAACAAATATGTAGGAGCAAGGGGAGATGGATTGCGCATACATTGAGAAGGCCTACTGGGGACATCAAGCTTCAGGGCCTCGAGTGCAACGCAGACGGGAAGCAACGAGATGGGCGTCCGAGCTAGGAATGACATAGGGGAGATCATGTAAGCAAGAAATGAAAGCTTGTCAGCAGTAGAGGAGCGACGTTAAAAAGGCTGCAGAGAAGATAGTGCAATGGAGACGTGCTACTGCAGCCCTATGTTCCATTAGGAACCCAAGGGACAAACAATAAATAACAGTAGTTTGAAGGTATCCTGAAAAACAATGGACTGAATAGTTTGAAAAAACTTCGGCATCGAGTTAACATGATTCATTGTATAAGGGGTATATTTACTTGTCTAATCCCCGTGTAGTATATAACAAAATAAACAAATATCCTGTGTATTCTCCCTCAACCTCAACCATTCCATCTTGTTAAGAAGATCCCTCACTTCAAGTGTATGAATGTGGCATTAAATTCTCAGGTTAATATTCAAGTATTGGTAGAGAAGGTGGTGGATGACGTTTACAATCATCCAATCACATCGTGATATGGAGCATAGATCGATGTAATACAAGTGAGTGAATAGGTGAATCACTCAGAAAGGTTTTTTCCGGTTGTGTGAGTATTATTTAACTTCATAAAAAGGGAGATAGGATTATTATATGAAAAAAAGTCAAATTAAGCCAGATAAGGAAATTCAATACTCTAAGTAGAAACTCTAACCAACGAAATATTATGCAACATAATCTCAGTGCAGTGTGTAATATATCCTATCGTGTCCTCACATGTGAGGAAAATTCACTATTATTCAAAGGATTAGACTTTAATCTAAATCCCCCACCAATGACCATACTCGTAGTCGCATTGTCAGTAAAACCAGCATTGAAATTAATCTAACAGGATATCGTAGACCAGGTTAGATATAAAGTCTCACATGTTGTGATTCATCAAAAAGGGGGCAAATATGAACATATGGATAAAAGAGGAACATGCTCTTCACTCTTTCAACAATTAATAAGAACATACGGATTATGAAAACTGACAAAAAAGAAAAACATAAGTGTTGTCTTGAAGACATTAGACTATGAACAGAAGTTCGGAGAGGATTTATCCAGTGGACTTTATGAAATGATGGAAAACAAGAAGCGTAAACTTACACTTAACAAGGTGAAACTACAAATTCACAAATTACTATACAATCTGAAATCGAAATTACGCAACACCTAATGGTTTAATTTAGCCCCAAAGTTATGCTATTTCACTCTTCTATAGCCTTACTGAAATTCAGAAACCCAATTTTTTGATTCGTCCAATTGTTGATTTTACTAATTCCCTAACATATAACCTTTCAAAATACCTTAAACGATTACAAGACAACTTGGTAAGTATCGTTAAAAGTTCATTAGACTTCGAACATAAATTTCTACAAACAACGAGTGAAGATAAAGAAACAGTGGTTAGCTCTGACAAATACAAATATACCAATTGATGAAAGTATACAAGTTGTTAGATTTTTATTACAGTCGGATACTTCTTTATCATTTAGGTGTAATATTTCCATCAGTGAAATCTATGATACACTGAGATTATGTCTGACCTCAATCTATTTTACTTTTCGAGGGGACATTTATCGTCAACACCAATAGGGTAGCAATGAGTTCATCTGCCTCATCCATTGTAGCTAATCTATACATATACAAAGTAGAATCACATCTATTTAGGCAACATAATTTCAAATCAAGAATATGGTAGAGGTATGTTGATGACACCTTGGTCATAAGCAAAAAACAAGATCTAGAAAATATTTTTGAATATTTTAACTGCCGTTTCCTTTCTATAAAATTAGCATATGAATTAGAAACAGAATTCAGAACCTTAGCTTTCCTAGACTGCAAGGGGATACGAAACAATGATGGGCTACTTGACATTGATGCACCTTCTAACAAGTACCTTGATTTCGATTCTGCTCATCCATCGGGAACTAAGATAAACGTTGCCAAAAATCTGTTGAAGAGGTCACAAATGATACCAAATAAAGTGAAACCTCAGCAAGCAGATAGGCAACTGGTTACGGAAGTCTTACAACATAATAACTATTCGGGGAAGCTATTAAAAAGGATAGAAAAAAGTTTATGAAATAAATATACGAAAAAGCCAAGCTACAAAGATTCGTTAAATACTATAGTACTTCCTTATCAAACATCCACTTCAAAGGAAATAAACTGATTTGTGACTAGCTTCTAGAGGTATTCCCGAAGTTCCAATGAGAAGTCGTGACCGGTGGAGTCAAAGCTTGATGGTCGTGAGGACAGTTACTCAATGATGACATTGGGTAGCGGTTGCGCTATATCGTGAGCGAACAGAAGTTGGAAATATGGACCATTGGATTCCGCTAACCCAGTGGCTCAATGTTAACGTTCTGTGCTTACCACGGAAGCTGAAGGTCACGTGCGGGTTCGATCCTTGGTGGTGCGGGGTGTTGGGTGCGCACTGCCGAGGAGTCCCACAATAGGACGAAACAGATATCCAGTGCTCCCAGGTTTCCTTTGTTCCTCCAACTGATGTCAGTCTACAATGAATAACAACTTAAATTATTTCCAAATCTATATCTATCTATCTATATATATATACTATATGCCAAGGAACCACTTGGTAAGTGTCTGTGACAGTATATACTATGCCCTGTGAAATGACTAGAGTGTATACTATTTTTTTTTTTAAAAAGCATCTTCTACATTAAGTTGTTATTGTATTTGGAATAGTAGATGAGTGGAAGAAGCCTGAGAAACACCATATCTCCATATGATATTCATACATCCATTCCCTGATTACTTATCTGAATATTATAAACAATTGAAGAATTTCTAATTGCAATGAAACGTGTAAATTCCAGATTTCTATTAACATAACCAATAACCGATTCAAAAGATCAGTTTACATTCATTCTTAACAAGTTACTAAAATCATGAAAATATTATTCCATAGTTTTGATTTCATTTCTTTGTCTACTTCCTTCAAGATGTTTTCATCTTTTGAATATTGATTTTCCTCTGGTGTGATAAAGTGTAACAGTTCAAACCTATACATAAACCTGTCAGATCTCATATTGTTCTAATCCGTTTATCTTACAGACAGAATTTAAATCTACTAGTCTGTTAATACACTGATACATATATATTGTCAGCTGTTTCTACAATGGAATTTTCAAAAAGAAACAAGTTTCAAACAGTAGAAATAAAGCGTCGTCCTCGTCCTATTCAGGACTCCTCAGCTGGATTTACCCACCTCCCAGTGAGTGATGTTGTTCACGGTAGGACTAGAACTTGGCATCGTTTACTACAACGTTATCCACTAGACTACCAAGTCATGCTGTGGTGTTTGAAGCGATCAGTCCCAGGTTCGAATCCCGGTGGGAACAATACTCACTGGGAGGCAGGTCTATCCAGCTGACATGTCCTAAATAAGATGTAACTTACATCAAGCTGGATTCCACTCCTAGCCACTATCCATCACTTATATAAAACTGAAACACAGACTATATCGAAGTATCAGCGCAGGAGCCTGTATGCCAATAGAGATGGATCAATCAACAACGGTATGATACAAGCAACAACATTAATTGGTGCATAATCAGAAAATGTATATATTTGCATCAAATCCTACGTTGTAGAAAGCTTTAAACTTCTGAGTTGAAGTTGACTATCGATCACTCTACTATAGTTATATCATGAATGTAATAGAATGAAGAGATGTCTGTATGACAAAAGTCAGCTGATAGAAGTCACTCACCTGTCTACCAACTTTTCCAATATGTGTACGAAGTAGATCCCAACGTTCCATAGCTTTTTGTTGTTGCTGTTTTAACTTGTTATTTTGTCCAGATTGATAATTTGAATTAAATTCCATACTGTCATGCATTCCTTCATCCCTCTCCATCATTGATAGATGATGATCATCATCATCATGATTTATTTCATAGTGACATTCTTTACCAGCCTCATTTTCATCAAGATCATGAATGTCTTCAGATTTGTAATCATACTGTTGATTGTCGAGTATGAAATGATTCGATGAATATTGTTTTGTTGTGAATATATCATTTTGATGTGATTTCAGTATAGATGTTCTTGGTTGAAGAAAATAATGATCAACATCAATGTGTTGATCATGTTCAGCACTTTCATTTTCTTGTATATTTATATTATTGATGAAAGCTTTCGCTTTTTCTGTACGAAAGTGATCATCAACAATGTTGTCTTGATTATCATCTATCCAATCATGTTTAATATGTTGTCTTTGATTTGTCTTATCTAACTGTTTTGTGTATAAGTCCTCTTTAGGACTTAATTGTAGGGATGAGTTTTCTTTGTTTAATGTGTTTTTCATTGATTTATCTGTCAATTTGCCTTCAATTGTACTTCTCATATCCCAATGCAATCTATCTAAGGCATTTGCAACATTGTCTATTTGAAGAGATTTATGCGTATTCTCATTGTCTTCTATGCTTATACAACCATCAGGTTCAGGAAGATGACAAGTGGATCGAGGTGAAGACTGTCTTCTTTCTTGTTTTATTGAAAGTTCAGAGTTTTGTTCTATACCAGATACATCAGTATCGATTATGTTTCTCTCTAGAATTTCATCTTTTATGGCTTTTTTCTCTCTACGAATATAGCTTCTTCCCATTGAATTGCTATTCAGCTTTGTATGGTCCATGTATACATTATTATCTGTTCCTAAGACTTGTGTTTCCTTCCACAATGGTGACGTTCTTTCACTGAATGATTTACGCTGTACATTTTCACCGCTAACAGCATCTAAAGTGTTCCCACCACCACCACCACCACCACCACCACCACCTGGAGTACTCGGTGTAATATATACTGTAGTTGGAGTGGTTTTTGTTGTTGTTATTGCTGGGATTTCTATGGTATCGAGAATAAATTTTCTTTCTTCAGGAAGATAATCACTATTTCTTCTAGAAGAACTTGTATCTTTCTCTCCTACATCAAGACAATGTAAACTTTGCTTTATTGACATTCTAGGCGTTATTCTTGTTGTACTATCAACCAATGAAGATTGTGGTTTGCCTAAACTTGTAATTGTCTTAATTAGATTTGTATTGGATGACAACAGTTCACCTAGAGGCACTAAATCATCTTCATCACAGGAAACATTAGTGCTGCTCCCGATGGTAGTATCATTGTGATTATTATTATTATTACTGTTATCATTATTATCATTAGCAATATGATAACATGTGACACGAGTTGTGCAAGCTAAATCATCATCTACCTTAAGATCGGGTTTTATGCAACTATGAATATCTGATTGACCATCAATGAGTTGTTTTCTTTCAGTCCTGTTTTTTACATTATCATATTCTGTTTCATGTATTGTTATTCTTGATTTCTTAACTGATGAAAGTGAACGATTGGTTGTCTCATCTTCATCACTAGTACTATCAATTAAATCATCTAAAATATCAGTTTCTCTTATAGGTAGCATAGCTATAGCATCAGCTAATTTCCATTTAGATGCTGTATTATCAAAAAATCGATGAACTTCTTCATGTGGACATGTACATTTATCAACTGTATGAAAATTACGTTCATACCATATATCAGCTGGCCATAGACCAGCTTCACCTTTCACATAATCACATGAACAATCTAAATGACTTTCTAAATCGAATGTATTCTTTGAATGATATGGTTGAATTAATACTGATTGAGGCAGATTATTGTCTAAGTGACTAGAATTACTGATATCAGTAGTATACTTGAATGATGTCATATTTGGATCTAAATGCATACGATCATACAAAGGGATTGGGATCAAATGACGCGGTTTCGTGATGGCATTCGTCTCTTGACCTGTAGATCTGTGTGTTCTTATGGGTAGTGCAGGTGGTATTTCAGATGATTGTTGTTGTCGTGTTTCCTGTACATGTGCATTGGAATAAAAATCCTTTGGACCCGAAGATTCCATTCGAACAATTGTTCTAACTAACGCTGATGGATACTGTAAACGTGTCCTTATCTGAGGATTAGTTAGTGATGTCCGTTGTATGGAAGGCTGATCACTGTGCCCAGATATTTGCAGTGTATTATACATACTACTGTTCATCAGTGCATTCTTACTCTGAGAATAAGTATTGGTTGTGGAGGTTATCTTTGTCCCCAAGACATATCGTGGTTGATTTAGAGGCTTTACTAATCGTTGTGATCGATAATACAATTGTCCATCGGAACACACTGAAGCGGATGGTGAAGATGAATACAGCATGGATGGATCATAGCCTACAGATGTTTGATACGATGGTTGAATTGTCGTGAATTGTCTTACCATAGTTGGAGATGCCCATGGATGATACATTTTACGCAAATACTGAGGGTTGACACTGTACACGTTTAGTGCACCTCCACCATCATAACCACCACTATTGACAGCATTCACACCTCGATGTATTAAAGGAGTTGGGTTTGTTTCCCGCTGATAATAATAATTTCCATTGTATTGACGTGGTAGAGTATGTGACCCACCTGTAGTCAGAGTATACCCGTGTAGCCTAGATCTGCACATCATGCTCTCCACTTCACTTGCTGGATCCCATTCTGGTTGATCAGAAGGTGAGTTAAATACACGATAGTCGGACATAATTTAAAATAGATACACAGTTGTTAATTCCGGTAATTTATCACAGCATGGCGTCGTGTAGACGGAAAACTATGAATTAAATTATACATCATAACTTTCCAAGTTTAGTTATCCGTGCACGGTATGGATATGCTGCTCACATTTGATAATGTGGAAATCAAGCCTATTGTCATTCAACACATATACATGCTGAGTATTAATCGATCGCTATGCTGTAAAGATTAAGGTCTCTTGGGATGAATGATTTTACTAAAGGAAAATAATGGGAAACGAAAGACAGACAGCCCATAAACTAATCCTAGTGTGGTTTATTACTATAAAATATGATTGGTAATTAGTGTCCTTGATACAATTAACCAATCAGGAGACAATATCATACTGCATTATCACTAGTGAATGGGTATGTGATTAAATACTCATAGATGGAAAGATGGACAGACAGACATATTAAAAGTATATTTGAAATTGTTTGAATCTACGACAAATTAAAGCGAAATGTTTGCACTTTTAATGTGTATACATTGATAATCATTTCACCTCACTCGAAAATTGATACATCTCAAGGTCACCAGAGATAAAACTAGTAGTTACAAGTGTATTTGGATAAGATAACAACATTACTTTAAGTGGAAAGATTACTTACTAATAAATGCTTAACATAAGCTAGAGAATAGATTGACATTAGAGAAGATTTAGTCTAGTTTAGAGCTCTTTATGTAAAGCAAAATTACAGCTGATACCTAAAGAATTCAAAATTCCCCTTATTAATATTGATTAAAGAAGCCACTGACCGATGAGATATTCAATGAGATATCAAAAGACAACTGTACTCCACAATGGTTGATTGTTTCCTCTAATAAAACTGTGAGGGGAATGACTGTTGAAAGTAGAAGAGATGAAAAAACTACAGTATTACTCACCTGTAGCGGAATCACCATGTGAAGAATGTCAACGATTAGATGAAAGAAACTAGGCAAAGAAGTTATCTGAGTGGATGAGGTTGCAAACTTTAAGTTTCAAAATGAGATTTCCCCTAGATTCTAATGGGAAGTTATGACTAATGCGGACAATCAAGTTGTATATGAAAACAGGTATTCAGCGACGGCACTGGATGGAGGTAACACTGTATCATGAATTGACGGAGGTAAGAATATATGGACTATTGGATTCTGACCCACTGGTTCAATGGTAATGTGCTGGCTGCAGAACTTGATGGTCCTGAGTTCCATCCCTCGAAGGCTCATGAATGTGCAATTCTGTGGAATCCCATACTAGGACGAAACACCTTTCCAGTGTTCACAGGTTTTCAATGGTTCTTTGATTGGTGTTAGTCCATGAAGAACATCAACCTGAAATCAATAAATAAACCCTGGCAAACCTACAAATTGAAGTAAATTTTCTAGCTGGTATTCATTGTAGATTGATTAGCATTAGTTGAAGAAATATTGAAAACCCAGGAGCACTGGACAATGGGCTGTTTCGCCTTAGCATAGGAATTTTCAGATGTGCGCTTACATGTTCCCGCACCACCAGGCGTCGAACCCAGGACCTTCGGTTTCCGTGGTCAACACGTTAACGTCGCTCATCTCCCAAAGTTGTCATTGAGTAAACCGGGTTTACTCCACCTGTCACGACTTCTCATTGGAACTTTAAACCCTGGGTTCCATCCCAGGCAGGACGGAGTCATTGGTACGCAGTGTTGAAGAGTCACATACTAGGACGAAACTGCCAACTGTCTAGTGCTTTCAGGTTTCCAATGTCCCTCTAAATGATGTCAGTCTATGATGAATGCCAACATGAAATGAATAAATCCCCTAGAATGTGTGCAGCCCATGACAAAACTCCAACCCAATACTCCTTCATAACGTTTGTTAATAAAGCTAACTTGAAATTCAGAAACAAGTGAACTTGTTAAATATCTAACATGGAATAATCATCACTAATTCCTGTTGAATGCTTCAAATACCAACTAATTGAAATGATGTTGAAAATTGCAACTAAATTTTCGTGTTTATTATATCAGTCAAAAAGTGGATAATATGAGTCACTTCATACAGGCTTTATTAGGGGTTGTGATATTTTATTTATTGATAAAGTTTTCATCGGTAACAACAATATTAAATAGCTCTCTTAGTTCAACATCTTTCGATTGATCTGTCATCCTTTTATGCATAAAAGGAAACAATCATATGTTGAGTAATGAAATTCATTATTATCCATCATTTCATATTGGTTATTTCATGTCTATACATTATGGTGGATTGTGGTCAAGTGATTTATTTGTTTATGAACAGATAAACGCGATCGCCTGAAGTACATGGACAACCTTATTATTATTATTTATTATTTTTCTCGGGTTCCTGGTGGAACAGTAGCTCACCTCCATTCCACTCTCTTCTCTGCACTCTTTTGAACCTCTCTCCACCACTACCCACAAGCTTTCATTTCTTCTTCACGTGATCTCCTCCATGTCACCCACGAGCGCCCAACTCGTCGTTTCCTCTTTGGATTCCACTCGACGGCCTAGACTGATGCATGATGTCCCCAATCGGCCTTCTCAGTGTATGCCCAATTCATCTCCAATTTCTTCATCTGCATATTTCTTGGGTGATAAGTTCTTGCTTCGTTGCTCCGTTCTTAGAGTTGTTTGTTGCTTATCCTTACTATTCTTGGCATCTGATCTTCGGTATTGAGCGAGTGTAGGTGGTAGCTGTTCATGAATATCTGTAGTTTGTTCGAAACGCTTTTCGTGACGCGCCAAGTTTCTGAACCATATAGCAGCACTGAATTGACATTGGTGTTGAAATTCCGGATCTTGTTCAAGCTTTATGCTGAGTGCAATAGATCTCCCTTCACAACGCTTTCAAATTAATGAAAGTCTGTGTTGCTTTGACATCCTCGTCTGTGCCACCTGTAGGTTTCTCCCTTTCATGGTGATTGGTGCTTGTTGTTCATGCTGTTGTTCGTTGGGTATCATCATCACCTCCGTCTCCTCTGCATTCACTTTAATTCCCGTTTTCGCTACCTCTTCTGTTAACTTGTTAGTTTTCGCCTGTACATCTTCGAGTTTGTGCAACACTGGACATTAATCATCATTGGCGAAATCCAAATCTTCTAGGTTCTTTTCATTGTTCAAACTGCGTACGCCCATCTTCTCGCTCCTCACAGTTGTCTGTTGCATGATCCAGTCCTCCACAATCAGGAAGATCATGGGTGATAGAAGGTAACCTTCTCTTACTCCTGTCTTCATTTCAAAGGTGTCACTGAGTTTTCCATTGTGGATTACTTGGAATGTGGCGTTTTCATATACCTGTTGAATGAGGTTGATAAAGATTTGTGGCACTCCGTAATATTGAAGCAACCGCCAAATTATTTCTCGATTGACGCTATTGAAGGCATTTTCAAAGCCGATAAAGTTGAGGTAGATAGTTAACTGGTGCATGGACAACATAAGCGCCAAATTTTGTGTTCTGTTATAAGCAGTTGGGATCGCCGAATTGTTTGTGACTCATTATCTGAGTGGACTGAATGTATAAGACCGACTGGGCAAGTAGTAACTTCAGACCAATTAAATGCTTAATACAATTTTAACCAAAGATATGATAGTTGGTTATACCTCAGTAAATGGAGGACTTTAGCGAAACTCAAAGTATTAAACAGGTGTCTGAAATTCTCTCTTCTTCATGTAATTCCATCTTAAATTTGTTTATTTGATATGACCAGTACACAGTAGTTTTTACTGTGTAATCACACTCCTTTCGATATCTGATTTTTATAGTCCCAATGGTTATAAAATATCCCATATCTCTGGTATGCAGCATTCGTATGACATGTGTCGGGTGGGTGCTGATTCGATGAAGAAAGATTCTTTTAACTTGGTTTTCATCATGGACTGACAGCAGCTGGATGACCATTCGGAACCTATGAGACTGGACGGCTGTTTTGCCCTAGTATGGAACTCTTCACCAGTGGGTACCCATAATCCCACCAGGGATAGGACCCGCGACCTTCAGGTTCTGTGGCCAGCACTCCTTCTCCACCGAATTATCTTGGACAGTGGTTCCAGCTTACCCTAGATTGTGTGGTTGTGTGTTAATGTATGCATTGCAATAGCCGAGTTGTTTTTTCTAGATTACTGATCTTATTCTGGTCTGTCATTCTACATTTAGCTAAATTCCTATATTCTGCTAACTGACCCCTGCCGGCTAATTTCACCTATGTACTTGACCTGACTTACAGTCATTATATGCAATTTGATCGATTAGATTATATCGCTAAATCGGTTCTAAGCCAACCGGTAAACCTTATCTCTGAGTGAATTTGTAGGTTTCAATGCCACCATAACTAATTCCAGTTTTGTTGAGGATCCCACTCGTAAAGTTGCTGATGTATCTTCCTTATAGGATGACACAATGGAGACTGTGAACTCCTTCCTACTCGTGATATCGTTATTATTCACACTCGTGTTACTGTTTTTATTTCGTTTCCTATGTGTTCTTACGAATTTTATTTTAATGAACTGTCGAGGATAATTATTAACTGTTAGCGCCTTTTTTTTAAAGTTTTTTCAATTAATCGGTTAAGTGCTTGCACTGACTGGTCAGTTTTCTAGCTCTATCATTTCGACATTTGACTAAACCTGCCTTCACTGACAGACACTGGATGAGATGACTCGAAGTTTAGATACCTGTTGGTATGTTTTTGTTTCCTGTAGACGGTAGTATTCCAACCACGGTCTATCCTTCGTTTCACTCTGAAATTCAACACAGATAACCTTCCTTGTTCATTTTCTACATGTTTACAGTGAGCAAAACACAATGAACGTGTCATACAGATATTGCCACCATGTCTTGGATACAGAATTCAGCCTTGCTAAAGTTAAAGTTTCCCAACTATCCATAAATATATCTATCAGTAGTGAAGTTATTTCTGATCACAATGCTTCTTCTTCTGTCTATTTTCATATAGTTAATAATAATAACAACAACAGATTTATTCATAGTTAGACAGTGAAATGAGTGATACAATAACAGATTATTACCGGGACTATATTAACCATGTTTGAATTCAAACATTTACTACAGCATATAAAAGTGATAGGAATATGATTGAAAGGTGTTATTTATTGTTATTCGCAATTTTTCGCTCCTACATGGATGCCTCTCGATATTGCTCGTATATTCATGTTATTATTGTCTACTTAGTGGTTAGCACTGGAATCCGTGATTGACACTTCGTCTCATTTAGGACCGATTCATCAGTGAGATATACACGTACCACAGTGAATAATGATGTTCCCCCTGAAGTTTAAGCCCAGGAGCAAAAACTGCAATCTTCACAGTGTTGTGCACTTTGCTACTAAGTCACCATAACTCATAGTGGCCGACCATTTCCCTTTAATCAACGGCCGGAACTTGTAAGGTGTAATATCCAAACTATGCAATACACGTTGCACGATGAGTGTCTATCGTGTGATTAAATGGGACTAGTGGATTCGTTATACACATAATATTAAGAAAGTACACCATTTACTAAGCTGCTAATTGTTTTGGTATGAATAACATAAACTGCAGCTATTCCAACCCATGCCTAATCGCTAGTTCTATCTCTGTAATAGTCTCTTTACAAAAACGGCAGTATTATTCTATGTAAAGCTTTTTGGTGTCGCCTAACTTCAGTAGTAGTATAGTAGTACAAAGTGAATCGTTACGGTACGCGCGACACACAATGGACAACATACAGTCATTATTGTAATCAAGACTGTTCTGTAGGCTATTGTCAAAATGATTGAACGACCAGTCTGATAGGATTGATGAAATTCTTTTGGTAATCAAAGTTTTCACTAAGTATATGTCATTCTGATGAAAAGTGTAAACTGTGAACGAATGAAAACATACAGAGAGAAAGAGAGAGAAAAAAATTTCGGGGAAAATGGTTTGCTGATATCCATAGTCAGAGTTACTTATATAACTTACTTAGTTATTTAAGCTTTATCAGCGTCATTCGACAGCTATATGATGACGCCATATGCCAAGTGATTCACAATGGAAAGCTTAGTGACGCCTTTGAAGTGATGTGAAGACAGGAGTAAGACAAGGTTGTCGCCTAATATCACCAATGGTATTCCTGATTGTGGTTGACTAAACTGGAGTGGACTGAGTCGTGCAAGAAACTGTGATAGATGAAAAGCCCCTAGATGATTTGGATTTCTCCCATGATGATTTATGTCTAATGTCATATGTCACACAAACTCGAAGATGCACAGGCGAAAACTAACAAGTTGTCAGAAGAGAAGAAGCAGGGTAGGGAGGCGAAGACGAGACTTCCTTCGAATGAACGTAGAGAAGAC